ATCCTATACCTCCGCTCAGTACTGAAGAGAGCTGTAATAATTGCATGACGTCATCCCTGTTGGTCAATGAGTGTGAGAGCTGGTCTCCATCAGTCTCATCGTACCTTGTGGCTCTCCCGAGTAAGGGGGTGTGCTTTTGTCAATTCGGTCCGGCAGTTGATGAGAAGGGCTGATAAGCTACAGGAGCTTGATGGTAATTACTGTCCTCCCCTTGCACCGGAGGTTGTTGGACTTCTCTAAGAGGCATCTGTAGTGGTGCCCTTCGCTCCGGCTCTCTCGCAGAGGGCAGTCTCTGCTTAATTCCAGTGTCTCCCTCCCCTCGTGCGGTGCCGGGAGGGGAGGATGGAGCTTGGGGCGTATGACATCAGCAGTGCTTGAATCCGGTAGGTTGTAGCCTGCTGCTGGTTCAACTAAGGTCGGAGCTTGCCAGAATGGTGGCTGCACATGCTGTGGGCTGTTGGGAGGACTGGTGAAAGTGGAGGTTCTGGGGGGTTTACCGGCCTCTGGTCAGTTCCCTGTGGGGAGGCTCTCAGCCCCGCAGGAGCATTGGTTGGTGGGATCATCATCCAGTATGGTGGCAGGGGAAGTTCTTCCCCCTCTGGATCCTGTAAGATTTCCTTTCCATCGTTGGTTACTTTTTGAGCCATTAATATGTTTCCTTCCCCATTATGGATATAAAATCCGGCCCATTTGGCGGGGGAGGTGGGGGGCGGTCCTGGGCTATCCCTAACCAAGAGTCTATGTAAGGAAACTGATTGGGGTGTCCAGGTTTTTCCATAACTATGGCATCGACTGTCTTTATTAAATTAAAGTCCATGGTACCCTCTGGTGACCAACCAACCCCCATTGCAGGCCATGCAACCTTGCAGAGAGTGCGGAGCCTGTTGGGTGTCATCTTTGTCCCATAGACTCTGTCGAATCCCTTTTTGAAGTTTTTAATCATATTTTCTAGTACAGTTGCCTTAGGTCCGCTTCCTCCCATTTTTCTTACCTTCTCGTTGATGGTTTAGATGTCATTCTTGTCCTGCCGGCCTTAATTGGGTGAGGATAAAAGCACAGATGGGTTAGATAACCCATGTCCCAGGCTTCTCCTGGAAAGGCCAATTCGTACTCACTGATCTACTGTGTGTTTTGTTTTGTTTTGTTTTTCTTTCTACCCTAACTAGTTTGAGGGATTGGGAGTTTCGCAGCAGACGGGGCACCTCCTGGGGGAGGTAGAATATGAGCTCACAAGGACCAAGTTTCTTCCCCTAAAAGTCCCCTGGCGATCGCTTGGTGATAATTTTCCCTGAGATGGCAAAGACACACCTCCTAAATGACCTTCACAAACTCCCTTCCTAAGCCCTAACGCGCTCGTCGACCTGTGTACCAAGCAGTGGCCGCCACCTGCCAGTTCCAGGCTCCTGTGGGCCCGTGCCCCTTCTAGTCCCTCCCAGGGGGTGATCAGGCCCCCTCTTCCACACTGCCAGGTGGGTTCCTCCTCACCTGAGTGCTCAGTTCCCCTGCAGCCGTCCACTACCTGCTAACGTGAGAGGTCCAGGCATTGAGAAGCAGAATCCTTCCAGGAGGGCGAGGCGCCTTTCCCCCTCTGGAAGATCCAAGCCACAAGGCCTTGCAGTAACCCCAAAGGGGGCCTGTCTCCCCAAAGTGAGGAGTTTCCTGACCATCGCACCGAATGTCGCAGCCGCGCGTTCCGGGAAACAAACTCACTCAGAAGGACAAAGCCCGTGGTGGAGTGCAGTTTATTACACCGGCGGGCCCAAGGCAGAGTCTCCTCTTAGCCAAGGGCCCCGACCGGCATTTGTGAAAACCTTATATGCCCTAAGTGTACATGCTCAAACCCACCTCCCCAGATTCCCTGAAACTAGTCTGGACAAGGTAAAAGATACGATCACAGTTAACCCACGATTCATGTGTCATAAGCCTCGGTAGTTAAACAGTAGACATTTATCAATAGGCCTGTGGTCATATCCCAATAAACATAATGGAATTTACGACTTTGTTCTGTTACAGAGATAATTAGCGTATTCTTTTAGGTGACAGAGAGTCCAAGCCCAAGTCCCGAGGCTCTTTTATCCGGGGGTCTGGTTTCCCATTGATACGCCGTTTCTATAGACGCCGGGCACAAAGTTCAGAGCCCATTGGAAGGGTGACCATGCGTGTGGCCTAATGTTCGCAGCCCGGCCTGAGACGGAGTCCAGCTCTGTCCGTTTCCTCCTTCAGTCCTACCCGGCCATTAGTAACCTGGGGTCAAAGTCAAAGACATTATAAGTGAAAAAAAAATACAGATCAGTATGTTTTATGAATATATATGCAAATATTCTCAATAGCATATTAGCAAACCAAATCCAGCAGCATATAAAAATAATTTTGACCATGATCAAGTGGGCTTTCCCAAGAACATGAGCATGGTTTAACATTCAAAAGTCAAGTAACGGGGCTTCTCTGGTGGCTCAGTGGTAAAGAATCCGACTGCCAGTGCAGGAAACATGAGTGCGACCCTTGGTCCCAGGAAAACCACACATGCTGTAGAGCAAATAAGTCCCATAGGCCCCAACTATTGAGCCTGCGCTGTTCAGTTCAGTTCAGTTGCTCAGTTATGTCCCAACTCTTTGCGACCCCATGGACTGCAGCACCCCAGGCTTCACTGTCCATCACCTACTCCCGGAGCTTGCTCAACTCATGTCCGTCGAGTTGGTGATGCCAATCACCCATTTCATCCTCTGTCGTCCCCTTCTCCTGCCTTCAATCTTTTCCAGCAACATGGTCTTTTCAAATGAGTCAGTTCTTCACATCAGGGGGCCAAAGTATTGGAGTTTCAGCTTCAGCATCAGTCCTTCCAATGAATATCCAGGACTGATGTCTTTTAGGATGGACTGGTTGGATCTCCTTGCATTCCAAGGGACTCTCAAGAGTCTTCTCCAAAACCATAATTCAAAAGCATCAATTCTTCAGTGCTCAGCTTTCTTTATAGTCCAACTCTCACATCCATATATGACCACTGGAAAAACCTTAACTTTGACTAGACGGACCTTTGTTGACAAGGTCTGCTTTTTAATGTGCTGTCTGGGTTGGTTATAACTTTCCTTCCAAGGAGTAAGCATCTTTTAATTTCATGGCTGCGGTCACCATCTGCAGTGATTTTGGAGTCCCCCAAAATAAAGTCTCTCACTGCTTCCACTTTTTCCCCATCTCTTTGCCATGAAGTGATGGGACCGGATGCCACGATCTTAGTTTTCTTAATGTTCAGGTTTTTTTCTTTGTTTGTTTTGTTTTAAGCCAACTTTTTCACTCTCCTCTTTCACTTTCATCAAGAGGCTCTTGTTTAGTTCTTCGCTTTCTGTCATAAGGGTGGTGTCATCTGCATATCTGAGGTTATTGATATTTCTCCTGGCAATCTTGATTCCAGCTTGTGCTTCATCCAGCCCAGCGTTTCTCATGATGTACTCTGCATATAAGTTAAATAAGCAGGGTGACAATATACAGCCTTGAC